TCCGAAACTCTTTATTTCAGGACTCGTCACCAGAACTCTAGTTTTTACTAATGACTTTCTTTTTCTAAAGAATTCCACCTCCCCACCCCCCACCAGTGCTGTGCCCCGAAACCAGGCACCGGTGTGAGCAGCGCAGGGCCGATGGTGTGCAGTGGGACAGGGGCAACACAGGGGGATGCCAAGGGGTGGGTGGGGGTTCTCACATGCAGCCCAGTTAGGAGCTGCAGGGAAAGCCCTCTCCAAGTGTATACTCTCCATGTAACACCTCCTGGCAGCTGAGGTGCCCCCTGCTTCGCCCCTCTGCTCTCAGCAGAAGGGAAGGAGAAGGGCAGAGCAAAGCCCTCAGTCACGCCAGCCATGCTGAAACACATCACAGTGTGCTCAGTTCTGCTGCTGCTGCACGGAGCAGGCTGGTGGCCGCTGGGTTTCCCTCTGTTCCCAGAAAGCTCCTGCATCGTGCTTTATTTGTGTGGGTTGTTGTTTATTTTTCTCCCTAAACAGCAGTCCTGACCGCTTTATTCCCCATAGCGCTCGGCCCATTGCTGGTGGGGATTTCAGGGCACCTGGGGGGGGGGGGGGGGGAGGTTTCCCCTACCAGCATGCAGCCTGCACATCACAATAGGCTGGGAAGAGAAAGGAGGAGAGCAGTGAGTGTGGAACCTGCCTGATGGTGGGAAAAAAAGGCCGTGGAAATGATTCCCTGGGGCTTGGAAACTCAGAACCACAGCGCTGTGGCGTTTGCAGCTCGGGTCCCGGCACTGTGGCAGAGCGAGCCTGGTGAGATCGGCACAGATCCCGCAGGGGCCTCATTACCAGCAGCCTCGTTAACAGCCGCTTCCTGGCTTTAATTGCCATGGGTGCTCACAGTGAGGCCTCCCAATGCGTTCGTTATCTTGGCACAGCCCGGCGCTTCCCGTGCCGCGGCTGCTGCTCTCCGGCATTCCTGGCATTGCCGAGAGGCTGCTTTCCATGAGCCCTTTGGAAGCCAGCAGGTCAGGATTTTCATGTAATCTGGCTTGAAGGGTTGATCTGGCCATCTACACCGTGCCAGGATCCTGCAGGCTGAAGCTCAGCACTCTTCCTGCCCAGGAAACAGCAAACAGCCACATGGCACCACGATGCGCCCGGAGCGCGGTGACGGTGATGGTGACACCAGGCACCACTCATGGGCTGGAGGAGCTGAGGCGTGGGCACCTTCATCCCTGGTGTCCTGGGGGTGGCTCTGCTCTAAGAGGATATTGTGGGGGCAGCTGTGTGACAGATTAAGCCATTTCCACCTCCCTAATGATGAGATGTAAATCTATCGGCTCAGAGTGGCCCCGGCTCACAGCGCACCATGCTGGCACTCACTGCACTGCGGCACCTGCTGCTCTCGGTCCGGCCGGTGCACGGTTTCACACGTTGCTGAAATGAGAACCAGTTTCAGTTCCTCCTGGTTTATTTTAGCTCCTATCGCTGTGTGCCAAGAGGAGGGGATGGGTGTGTGTGGTCAGAGGTGTCTGGGGCAAAACGAGATGCCGTCAATGCAAGGAAATCCTGCGAGGGGCCAAGGAATGGACTGGATGATCGTGGAGCTCTTTTCCTTAATGGCTCTGTGATTCGATGGTTCCACGTCTCTGCCTGTGCTCCATGGTGCCCCCTGGTTCCCCCCAGCGCCGTGCTGGGAGCACTGAGGCTCAGGGCAGCATGGCCAGGGCTGTGCACAGACAGTGCTGAGCATCCCGCATGGCTTCACACCAGCATTTGGGTGAGCACAGGCCGGCAGCATCCGCCCCACTGCAGGACTTTGGCACAGGATCGCCAGAGCTCAGCCCTGTCAGCACTTTCCCCGCCGAGAACCCACGGATCAAAGGTGCACGTAACGATCGGCGCACGCGGCCGGGCAGCCCTCCCTGCTCCACTAATCCCCTGCAGCTGAGCAGATGCACGTTTTCCTCAGCTGATGGTTAATTTTCTTTCATCCTCTTAAATGCGGATGTCCAACGTTTCCTTTGGGATTGAACCCCCAGGCCAGGGGGCACCTGGCCAGGGTGTGGGGGGCTCCCATGCGAGCCACCAGCGCCTCGCTGGAGGTCCTGGGCTGTTCCTGGCAGCGCTCATCTCTTCCCAAAGCCAAACATGGATTTGGTGCATCCCAGTGCAGCCCAGCAGCCTGAGGACAGACCCCAGGAAACTTTATTTAAGAGCTGCCTTTATAAAAGTTGAATGAGATGATGCTTTAATAAATGGCTAATCAATGGTTAGAGCTCTGCAGGTTAATAGGCTGCATCTGACCCTCATGCTGGGTGCTGTGCCGTGTGCTGGGTTTGGACGCTGCCCCATGGGCACCAGGCACTCGATGTGGCCCCTTCCCAGCACTTTTGTTCCTTTGCATTTCCTTTTTTCCTCCCCCGCTCCAGCAGAGCCGAGCAGCAGGGCGATGTTTTCCCAGCCTCCCCCTCTGCCTCCCTGGATTTGTGTTTAATCAGCTGGCTCTGCTGAGAAAGCCTTGGCCGCCTCCGTCCCACCTCCTCCGTTCCTTTGTCTGAGATACGGAGGGCACACGCTGGCAGTGGGGCTCAGTGCTCTGCAGCTTTGGGTCCCCACAGGCTCAGGGTCCCCTCAGTGCTGGGGCATGGATGAGGTGGGGAAGCAGCTGCCGGCAGCACCCAGAGCCCTGCACCACTCCCAAACCTCACACAGCTTCAACCTCCCATCATCTCCACGGGAAAGGCAAAACGAGGGGCAGTGCCGTGCCCTGAGCTCAGCGCAGCGTTCCCAGCACGCTCAGATCCAGCCACAGGCCACAGCTCTTGTCCTCTTGTCCCTGTTAGCAGGGCGCAGGGGGCACCGGCTCACCCCACGCGTGGATCCATGGGCTCGAGGTGCTCAGCAGCAGCACCGGGGAAGCCCTTCCTCCTCCCTCCGTCTGCATGCGGCTTTCTGAGCGCTCGAGGAAACGGGGCAGGCTGGCTTGGCGCAGGCCCAGCATCCTTCAGCTGATCGGGAGCAGCCTCTGCCCAACGCCACGCCGGCCGCATCCTGAGCATCGCCCGGTGCTGCCTTAGGGCTCCTGGGGGGCTGCAAAAGGGTCAGCGGTAACGATGGCTCCTGACCTCTCCTGGGCTGTTTGCTCAGGGGCTGGCCGAGCTTTTGCAAGGTTTCCAGGGGAACTGCAGGTTTATGGCTTTCCTGTAGTGCCCTTCCCTGTTATCGGCTCAGCCCCATTGATCCCTTTGATCGGCGTCGGCGGAGGAGGAATTCGGCCCCACGGGGACCCTCCTGGGGTGGGGATTTAGGGAGGGGGGGGGTAGGGGAGGGGGTCATCCTTGTACCCTTCTCGGTGACACCAGGTCCGTGCATGCCAGTATTGGTTACCCAGTTAACCTCACGGTGCGTGCTTGCAGCGTGACACACTCGTATTTATAGCCCCCTCCCCACAGCCTGCAGTTGTTCAAAATTGTCCTTGAGAAAAGCAGGCTGGAGGGTGGAGGGGAGGGGGGGGGGAGGGAGGGCTGGAGGTGCAGCATCCACCCCCACGCGGCCAGGAGCCGTTGTCGTCCCCCCCTTCAGCCCCATTCCTCTCTCATGGCACAGGGCTGCGGTGCGGCGTCGGAGCGAGGCGTGCGTGCGGAGGGCGTGATTTGCTCGGCAGATCTGCTGCCATAAATCAGGGCAGGAATGTGTCGGGCTGTCAAACAAAGGGTGGGGTCCCAAGACAAAAGCTGGCCCCAGCAGGAACGGGTGCTTCAGGAGCGTCTGTGCACAGATCTTCCTGTCCTGGCTCATAAAAACATTTCCCAGCTGTGGACGCTCAGTGGGCGCGGGGTGCAATGAACCTCACCAGCCCCATCGGTCTCAAGTTTGCTCCAAGCACCATTCCTGGGAAATGCTTTCACAGGAGCACAGGCTGCCAGCATGCCAGGGGACAGCCACTCCCAGCACCACTCTCCTATGGCAGATTTGCTGCTTGTTGAAATGGGAGCAAGCTTTGGAGATGCTGGAAGCAGTAGGGCACGGGGCGGCTCCAGGTTCCTCATCCCGATGTAACCCCATCCCATGGGTCCCAAGCACTTTCCTCACCACCATCCTTTTTGGGGCCGGATCCCTGGGTGCTCCCTGAGCACACTGAAGCAGTTGCACACGAGCTCTCACCACGGCATGCACCCCACACACAGCTCCCTGCAGCCCGGCTCCGGCTCCCTCGGGCACTGCAGGTGTGGAGGAGGGATCACACCAAAGCATTGCTCCACTCTGTGCCAAGAGCGTGCTGGATTGCTAAAAATAACCAGGATCCCTGTTCTGCTGGGAGGATCCCAGGGCTGATTGCAGTCGCTCAGCCTCCGGGCCAAGCTGGGGGCAGCGCCGTGGTTTCGGGGCCGGGACCTGAGCACGACAAACGCCTGCGCTCGCTCTTGTCTTGGCTGTGGCACGGCCTCATGCATGGCTGCCTCGTATCATTTTTGCACCTGGCTCCCACCGAGTGGAGTTTTCTGAGAATTGATGCGCCCACTGCAGGGCTGCCCTCCCGTCTGCCACCTGGGAGCTGCCTGCCAGAGCCTTGGCATGGTGACAAGGATGGGTCACGGCAGGGAAGGCAGCACTGCTCCCTATGGGGCTGTCCTGCTTTGCCCTGGTCCCCACTACCCCCGATGGATCTGCAGCTGCAATGCAGAGCAGAGCATGCCTGCCCTGAGCTGCAGGGACTTTGGGACCCAACAGCTCCATGCAATGGATCCCCGCAATGCCTCAGGGGGGAGGGACTGCTGCATGGCACCCCATAGAGATCTCTGATTGCGCCATGGGGGCTTTGGGTCAGTGCACTGCTGGGAGCTGGGTCAGGGGGCTGGGTGCCTGCTCTCAGTGCCGCTGGGCACAGCTGCCCTCACTCTGCTGCACACTGTGACCACAGACCCCATCCGCTGCTTGTGGGATCGGGGGGGGGGATCCCTGGGGGGGGGTTTGGGGAGACACGGGGCTGCCTGGTGAGGTGTGTGCAGTGTTGTCCTCTTGTTGCACAGCTGTATGAGTTGGACGGTGACCCCCGGAGGAAGGAGTTCCTGGACGACCTCTTCAGCTTCATGCAGAAACGAGGTGAGCCCCCTCCCTGCCCACCCCCACCCGGCTCTGTCCATGGGTTTTATTTTCACTCGTGTCATTGTAACCCAAGGTTAATGCTCCGGCCAGACTGGTAGTTAATTTTTAACCTCGTTGCAAACCGGGGTCAAACCTGCTCTGCTGGAATCCGCGCCATGAGCTCGGCGCTGTGATTCCTGCCCCAGTGCTGGCCCCACGGGGCTGATTTCATCGGGTCCATCCCCTTCAGGGTGGCTTTGCCCTCAGCCTCCCCCTGTGCTGCCCCATCCCCAGGTTATGGTGAGTCCAGAGCAGCCCCAATCCAAAGCCCAGCTCTGTTCTCAACGGGGCACCCACCTCACCGGCAGCATCTGGAAAATGTTGACCTGTGGTATTCGAAAGGAGAATGTCAAATATCTGTGCATAGGAGCATACACACGCACAGCTCCGTGCTGCAGGCGAGGTCTGGGTGTAGCTGTGACTTCTGCTTCATCCTGCTGCAGTTTTTGGCCTGATGTAAAGCTGCCTCCTGCTTGGTATCCAGCACACAGCTCTGCCCCAGGGTGGTACGAGGGCAGCAAGTGGGCACGCAGCCCCTGCTGGTTGTACCAGTGCAGCTCAACCGTGCTCCAAAACAGCACCCTGCTCCCATCGGGGCAGCTGCAGGGCTGTGTGGAGTGGGACACTGTCCTGGGAGGGGGCAGGAGGGTTCTGGTGCTGGAATGGAGAGAGGAGCTCAGCGTGGTGCTGTGTGCGGCCACATCAGCTGCTGCCATCTCCCGGCACCGGGCTGGGGAGAACCAGTGCAAGGACCCACAGCTGGGGCTGCTCAGCACTGCTGGAGCCAGGGTCCAGCACTGGAAACGTTGTTGTGTGAGTGCATGCAGCCTTCTGTCTAAAAAGGCATTTGGGGAAGCGTGTGTGTGTGTGTGCATGGCCCTTCCAGCACTCCCAGGTTCAGCTCTGCCCCACAGGGTGCTCCACGAGCCCCTTCCAGCTCAGATCTGGGTGATTCCTGTTGACTCCCTGCATCTCCAGCCGTGTTCCCTTCTTGCTGGGACTGGGGGGCCCCAGTTGCATGCAGCCTGAGCACAGCACGACCCTCACCCCGTGGCTGCTGTTATAAATATCTGCTGTTGCTGGGTGCAGCTGCCTCTGCTTGCAAACCACGGCCGGCCCCTTTCGAGTTTCTTTTTCCTCCATGGTGCTGAGCAAGATGAAGTGGGGGTGCTCACAGAAGGAAGTAGAGTGGTAGGGGAAGGGAGAGGCAGCAGCAGGACCTCCCTTTTCCTCTGCCTACCTGCACACCCCCTGCCCACTCTCTGCCCTCCCCAGGGACCCCCGTGAACCGGATCCCCATCATGGCCAAGCAGGTGCTGGATCTGTACATGCTCTACATGCTGGTGACGGAGAAGGGAGGCCTGGTGGAGGTCATCAACAAGAAGCTGTGGCGAGAGATCACCAAGGGGCTCAACCTGCCCACCTCCATCACCAGCGCGGCCTTCACGCTCCGCACCCAGTGAGCACCAGGGGGGCACGGGGGAGGGGGGGAATTTGGGGACACCGGGTGGGGATGGGGCCGTGCTGTGTCTCACTGCATCGTTCCACAGGTACATGAAGTACCTGTACCCCTATGAATGTGAGAAGCGGGGCCTGAGCAACCCCAACGAGCTGCAGGCGGCCATTGACAGCAACCGAAGGGAGGGCCGCCGGCAGGGATTTGGCAGCTCACTCTTCACTTACTCACCTGGTGGCACCCATGGGCTCCTCTCCTCACCCAAGCTGCCGGTGCCAGCCCTGGGATTGGCCTCAGCCACCAACGGCGGTGCCATCGCTCCCGTCCAGAAGATCAAGAAAGGTAAGAGCTGCTATGTGCTGAGGGCACCGGTGGCACTGCTCCGTCCCCTCCCTGAGCAAGTTGGGTTCCCCTGGGGGCCTGGGGCTTTTGGAGACCACTGCATTGAGTCATAGAGTGATTGGGTTGGAAGGGACCGTGGTGGTCACCCAGCTCTGACCCCTGCATGGGGTGGGTGCTGGGTGCTGTAGGCTTTCTGAGCTGGGGGCATGTACCACCAGCTCGTGTCCAGCTTTTCATCCACCAACACCCCCAAGTCCTCTCTGCAGGGCTGCTCTGTGTCCATTTACCCCCCATCTGTGTTGGTTTGGGGCTACAATCACCCTACCCCACTCCAATAGGCAGCAGCTCCTGGTCGCGGGGTCTGAAGCAGTGTAGGTGGGGGGCTGACCCATTCTCTGCCCCACAGAGGAGGACGCACCCATCCCCATCTCCATGCCCAGCCGGCTGCCAGTGTCACTGGCCGGACACCCAGTGGTGGCAGCTCAAGCTGCAGCCGTGCAGGTGGCAGCAGCAGCCCAGGCCGTGGCACTGGAGCAGCTGCGGGAGAAGCTGGAATCAGGGGAACCCCCAGAGAAGAAAATGGCACTGGTGACAGACGAGCAGCAGCGGCTGATGCAGCGTGCCCTGCAGCAAAACCTCCTGGCCATGACAGCACAGCTGCCCATGAGCATCCGCATCAACAGCCAGGGCACGCGCTCGCCAGGTGGGTGCCACTGTGTGGGGTTCAGGGTGGGATCGGGGCACTGGGACCTCGGAGGGGTCCATCACCTCCTCTCTCCCCCGCAGAGAACCGCCAGGACACCTCCAGCAGCACAGCCAACAACGGCACCAACAGCATCAGCATGTCGGTTGAGATCAACGGTATCGTCTACACAGGTAGGGCACGGCGCGGTGCTTTTGTCACGGTCCCAGCGTGGCATCACTCCCATTGTCACCTGCAGAGGGATGTGCCGGGTCCCCCCTGCCCAACGCTGCTCTCCCCCCAGGTGTGCTGTTCGCCCAGACGCCCGGCCCTTCCTCCTCCTCTTCCTCGTCCTCCTCCTCCTACAGCAAAGGCAACGGCGGCAGCCGCGGCGGCGGCGACAAAGGCACCAACAGCAGCGGGACGGGGGGCAGTGGGAGCAGCATGGGCAGCGTCCCCCCCGCTGCTCCCCCCGCCGTGCCTGTGCCCCCCCCCC